AGTGTTTCCTTTTAGTTCCTTAAAAGAAAGTTTACTTTAACTCTGGGGAAAGTGACAGCTAATTCTGTGAGCTATAGTGAAGAAAAAAAAAAAGCCTGCAATTGCATTTAAAAATCGGCACTGACATACACTTTGTATTGCAAAATAAATTTGTAAACCGAGGCATTATTTTCAATGGATTTTCATTCGTAAACCAAAAATTACGTAAAAAAGGTACACCTGTATATGCTTGTATATACGCAAAGTCTCTGAAAATCTGGTGAAATGACAGTAGAAAATAGATATATTTCATTAAATGTAACATTTCTGTTTTTATCCCTATTTTGGCTTCTCTGCATTGCTGTGACGAGATTGATCCAAAAAGATAGAGGCTACTCCAAACTGGCTAATGTTTTCCTTCAATAGTGCATGCCTAGACAACTACTTATTTAACGCATGCATTTATTTATTTCCTTTAGTGAATTGACTTTAATTCCATTTCATGCGGTATTTACATAGTGCTTTTGGTTTTTGAGGTAAATACTTGCTAAAGGGATAGTGAATTGACAAGCATTAAAGTGCGATATTTGGGAAAAATATGTCAGATCACCTAAATACCGCATGCAATCTGCTTTAGTGAATGGAGCTCATAGAGCCTTATGTAAAAAGTCTTTTGGTTTCACATAATCAACCCCTAATATTTTATAGTTTCTGTTAAAAAGGAAAATAAGCATTTGAGTTTTTATGGGTGATATCAGTTCCTGTAACATTAATAAATTTTCTCTGTAATACATCTTTGTGTGTGCTTGTTATTGATATTCAGAAAGCACATCGCCCTCTAGCGTCTACATTCATAATGAATAAGAGCTCAACATAAGCAGTGCCATATCTGTGTGCAAATTAACCTTATTGTCTTTGATATGTGGAAGCCTTTGTTAATGCCTTTTATCCAAAAATCTGTGATTAGCCTCCAAATAAAAAGAAAAAGGAAAAGGAAAGATGCACTGCTTTGCAAGATAAGCTAGTAGAGGAGGAGAAGAAGCAGTCAGAACACGTAAGCAGAGTTCTTCAAAGGATGAAACTGGAAAAAGACACCTGGCTCTTAGCCCGTAAGTATACACAAAGTTCCCGGCAGTATGCCAGAGTCCATTGTCTCTTTAAATGTTCTTGTAGTGTAAAATTGCATTTACTTTGCAGTGATTTATTTCTGTACCTTTTGAGGAAAGTACACCGCATCAGCAAGTGCTCAGAGTAGCAATGCAATACATTAAAGTTTTCATAGTAGAGTCCAAATAGAACTGAGCGTTGTGTAACTATATATTCTAGCTTTCTATCTAAAAAGATTTTCTGAAATAATAGATGCTATTAACCTGCTGATAAACCACCTAAACACTGCTGGCTTCATAAATGCAGGAAGCCAAAATAGATTCAACTGAATTGAAAATGTTTGCCTGAACAAGGGAAATGTATTGTAAATAGCAGCAATTTGAGCCGCATTGTCTCAAAACAATCTGTTGTATAAAATGGACAAGTATCAACAGTTTACATATGGTTACAGCTTAAACAATAATCCTATAACTTGTATGTGATTCACATGCTGCTCTGTGCGATGCGATTTCACGGCTATTCACTTTGAATGGGCTCAAACTGCACTGCAGCACACGAAGAGTAGTGCATGCACTACTTTTTAAAATTCACTGTAACTGGATTGTGTGGTTCCTGTGCGATTTCTAGTGCCAGCACGTTGTGAACGGGCACTAAAAAAAGAAAATTAATGCAGCCACCACATATGATGATTAGTAAGCTGCAGTATCTTACATTTTTGATTTTGGGTTTAATACCACTTTACGTTATGTTCATAAGGTAAGTACTTGGAGAGGGGGGTTGGGGACATATCACTACTTGGACATTTTTTATCTTCTTGCAGGTAAATAGAAATTGTTTTGCCTGTAGATCTAATGTGGTGATTCTATGTAAACCAAACCTATCTATCCCGTGTTGTACAGAGTCCTTAGTCTCTCTGTGCGGTTAATGTGCAAGAGCTTTTACCACTGTTGTCAATGTGATGTCAGATCCAGAAACAGAAAACGTGTCTCAGTGGTCCTTACATAAAGACCGGTATAATTATAAAATAGTTGCTATTTCAGTTCTTGAGATAGCATCTCACTTTATCATAGATATGTTGTAAGCAAACGTTTACTGTCACTATAAATGTATAAACCTTTTTATCATTTCATTTTAGGATCTACTAAGAATGAAACCATCACCAAATTTTTGCAGCTATGTATATTTCCCCGATGTATATTTTCGGCAATTGATGCTGTCTATTGTGCTCGATTTGTGGAGCTTGTACACCTGCAGAAAACCCCCAATTTTTCTACCCTCCTGTGTTATGATAGAGTAAGTATTACAGGCTTGTAAGTTAGAAAATCTTGTGTCGGATGGTATTGACCAATATACATGTTAAAAGATAATTTAACCCTGCAAGTAAGTAATCTTATTATGAGTTATGCCACTGAATTAAAAACTAAAAGCGGAGCTGGCTTACAAAGTAAATGTAACAGCACCCAAGGGTTTTCTTACTGTAATTTTTAAGTATGGATGTGAAAGCCAGATCTGGTTCCTTGCTGAATTTGATCCTTCTGTGGCCAGCTCAAGATATGATCTCTCTCAAATCTGTATCAATCTCTGCTTTAAACAAGCAGTGACTGGGACACTACTAGATGGTGCAAACTCAGAGCCACTCCATGTTGCTGTAATCAGGATTTATCTTCAGTGCAAAGAAGGCCTTGCTGACTCTGATTTGAGCTATGTCAAGCAAAATTGAAAGGAATTGGAGAGATATGACACACCCCAAATGTAGGTGCAGTGGACTACTTAGAACTTCGATACAGTGAGTCAACTTTTTGCCCTAACGCATATGTCTACTTTTGGAATTATGGATGCTTCCATTGCTGGCCTGTTTTTTTCTGAAACGCTAGTGGCTTTGTTTTCTCATTGATCCGGTAGCTTCAGTCCTTTGTGAGTTGTTGCCCAAGAACAAATATGCAGACCAATAGTTCTGACTTCCCTAAGCTGCTTGCTTGTACCTGGACAGTGACTCATTTCAAGGCAGGGATGAACAGGTAGCTAGCATTTTCAGAAGTAAACAATGGTAGCCTCTGAATTTCCTTCAGTGAAGGGCCCCCTTTTATCCTTTTTTTGGCCAGGCCCTGCTCTCCATTTTATTACCGCAGGTGGTCAGACAATTTTGCAATTTTTCACTTTATCCTTTACCACTTACAGCTTTCACAGTTTGTAAAAGGACCCTCCCCTTCCACAACGTGTTTTCTGAAAAGTACAGGCCTGATAACCTAAAAAGACTGATTTTTTTTTTTATGTCTCGTGATATTTGAGCAAGTGTTTAACAAAACTATATATATATATATATATATATATATATATATAAATATATATATAAAAAAATTTAAAAATTGTACGTTTTTCAATTGTGACACTGAAAATTTGCAAAACTGTAGGTAGTGTGTGTGGTGAAGGGGTGGTGTGTAAATATATTTTTATAGGTGCTATTGACATGAAATGTTCACTGCATGGCGATAGCAACCCATGCAATTCATACATACAAAGAAACCAAAACAAAACAGTTCAGAAACAGTTATGTGTAATAAAATGGAATGACACAGGGAAAAAGTATTGAACAGGCTAACTGAAATTGTACTTTGTACAAAATCAAGACACCTCCTGTATGGAGAGACTAGTCGCATACATTGCTCAGGTGTGAGTTTGGCCCATTCTTCCACACAGTCTTCAAATCTTGAAGGTTCCGTGGGCCTCTTCTAGGAACTCTGATCTTTAGTTCTTTCCATAGATTTTCTATTGGATTCAAGTCAAGTGATTGGCTGGGCTATTCTAGCAGCTTTAGTTTCTTTCTTTGAAACCAATTGAGGGTTTCAATGACTTTGTATATGGGATCATTGTCTTTCTGAAATGTCCACCCTCGACTCATCATCATCCTGGTAGATGGCAGCAGATTTTTATCAAGAATGTCTTGATACATTTTTCTATTCATCCTTCTAAAGTGACATGAAGTTTGCCGGTACCGTATGCTAAAAACAGCCCCACATTATGATGATCCCACCTCCAAACTTCACTGTTGGTATAGTGTTTTTGGGGTGATGTGCCAGTGCCATTTGACATCCAAGCATGGTATATATTATGGCATTCAAAGAGTTTGTTTGGTCTCCTTGGACCAGACTATATTCTCCCAGTATTTCACAGGCTTGTCTAAACGTTGTGCAGCAAACTTTAAACAAGCTTCAACGTGCTTTTTTTTTCTGCAATGGAGTCTTGCACTCGTGCATACAGGTGGTGGTTGAGTGTATAACTTATTGTTTTCTTTGAAACAATTGTACCTGCTGATTCCAGGCCTTTCTGAAGCTCTCCAGAATTGGTCCTTGGCTCTTTGACAACTCTCCTGATAATTCTGCTTACTTCTCTGTCAGAAATCTTGCGAGGAACACCTGGTCGTGACCAGTTTATGGTGAAATAACGTTCTTTCCACTTCTGGATTATGGCCCCAACAGTGCTCACTGGAACATTCAGAAGTTTTAGAAATCCTTCTGTAACCAATGCCATCAGTATGTTTTGCAACAATAAGATTGCCAAGGTCTTGAGAGAGCTCTTTGCTTTTACCCATCATGAGATGATTCTTGTGTGACACCTTGGTGATGAGACTCCTTTTTATAGGCCATCAGTTGAGACTGAACCAGCTGATATTAACTACCTGCCGACCGCAGATAGCCGAATGACGGCTTCACTGCGGCCGGCCAGTTCTGAGTGGACGTCATATGACGTCCCCCAGAACGCGCTCTCCTGCGCGCCCCAGGTGGCACGCACCCGGCCATCTCCGTGATCGCTGTATCCTACGGACACAGCTGATCACGTGATGTGGTAAAAGGCCAATCACAGCGTCCTTTTACCACCTGATCAGCGGTGTCCAATGACACGCTGATCAGAGGGAAATGCAAGTTCCGGTTCTCGGCTGCACTCTCCTCACGCTGTCAGATCGTGAGGAAAGTACTGCCGAGAACCGGCAGTTGTCAGAGCAGGGATCGGCACCGATCATCAGGGCACTGATGATCAGTGCCCTGATGATCGGTGCCCAGCAGTGCCACCCGCAAGTTCCGCCCAGCAGTGCGCCCACTAGCTCCGCCCACCTGTGCCCAGCAGATCACCCACCTGTGCCACTCTGCAGTGCCACCTACCTGTGCCCAGAAGTGCCACCTACCTGTGCCCAGAAGTGCCACCTACATGTGCCCAGCAGTGCCACCCACCTGTGCCCACCAGTGCCACCCCACCTGTGCTGCCCACCAGTGCAGCCCAGCAGTGCTGCCAGTCAGTGCCACCAGTCAGTGCCCAGGGGTTGTGCCAGTCAGTGCCGCCAGTCAGTGCCCAGCAGTGATGCCAGTCAGTGCCGTCTATCAGTACCCATCATCAGTGTCGCCTATCAGTGCCGCCTATCAGTGCTACATATTAGTGCCGCCTATCCGTGACACCTCATTAGTGCTGTCTATCAGTGCCGCCTATCCGTGCCACCTCATTAGTACTGCCTATCAGTGCCCTTTAGTGCCGCCTATCAGTGCCGCCTATCAGTGCTGCCTCATCAACGCACATCAGTGAAGGAGAAAAAATGCCTGTTTGAAAAATTTTATAATAGAAACAAAGAAACTTTTTTTTTTTTTCAAATTTTTTGCACTTTTTTATTTATAGCGCAAAAAGTAAAGCGCCCAGTGGCGATTAAATACCACCAAAAGAAAGCTCCATTTGTGAGAAAAAAATGATCAAAATTTCATATGGGTACAATGTTGCATGACTGCGCAATTGTCAATCAAAGTGCGGCAGCGCTGAAAGCTGAAAATTGGCCTGGTAAATAAGGGGGTATAAGTGCCTGGTAGGCAAGTGGTTAATTTGCACTGACAAGGGGCAGGATTGCTTTCTAATTACTGATAGATTTCAGCTGTTGTCTTGGCTTTCCATGCCTTTTTGCACCTCCCTTTCTTCATGTGTTCAATACTTTTTTCCTGTGTCATTCCGTTTTATTACACATAATTTAATTTCTGAACGTATTTGTTTTGGTTTCTTTGTACATATGGATTGCATGGATTGTTACCAACATGTGGTGAAAATTTCATAACAATAGCACCTTTAGAAATATTTACTGAGAAAAATGGTGATGTGTTCAATAATTATTTTAGTGTGTGTGTGTGTACACAGCAGCTTCACATATTGCTGGTATAGTCAGTCAGTGATCTTAATCTGCCTTTCAACTGGGGTGCCTCAAAGTTTCTCATGGGTGCCTTTGCAATATGCCTAAAAATTGTATACAAAGCAGGTGGATCAAACCTGCCTTTTAGTTACACAAAGCTATAGGCTTTCATTGTGCACCATTACAGCATTCCAGCCTCTGGCCTTCTAACACCCCATCTATTGATATGGAGGATTTCGGTTGCCTGCACGGCATCCTTGTTTGACCCTTCCCATGCCCCTCTCTGTCAGTAATAGGGTTACATTAGTTGAGTGATAGAAAGAAACTGCGGAAGAAGAGAAGCATGGGAGTACTATTCAGTACCAGTGTGCAAGTGTATTGCTTTAGAAGAATAAATCCCCTCTAACATTAGGTGTCCTACATGTGTGGATGTCGCTGCATTAGGTAAAACTATTAGAATAGTTTTTTTACATTTTAGAATTGGGTGCCTTGAGACTGTCCATAATGTTAAAGGGTGCCTCAAGATTGTTCATAACTTTTAAAGGGTGCCTTGGCTGAAAAAAGGTTTGAGAAACACTAATCTAAATCATAGAAGCCTGTTTATGTCTATGTCTAGGTCCAGTGAGCACATACCTGGAGTATCAAACTAGCCACCCCCAAACTTCTTCAAAGTAGCCCCACACCAAAGGGGATCTGCTGACTTCTAATACTGCAATGTTAACTTTCTGGGCTCAGAACAGAGATCCTGAGATAGCTGCCCCGGTGACCTCTTGTACTGATTTATTAGAATGCTCAGCAGTTAAATCATTTTAATAACAGGAATTTTATGTTAAACTTGTTTTTTCTTTTAAGTGATTGTACATTTTTGTTGTATCCAAAGAAGTTTACCTATATTGTGTTGCCCAGTCAAGATGAAATACCAAGGCAGTTTTCACAATGTTTTCTTATGCAGGTTTTCTCAGACATTATTTACACAGTGGCCAGTTGCACTGAAAATGAAGCCAGCCGCTATGGAAGATTCCTGTGCTGTATGCTGGAAACTGTTACTAAGTGGCACAGTGATCGAGCCGTATATGATAAGGTACGGAAGCTATATTAAAACAGTATGTAATCAGTATGCTAACTACATAGGCATGTTATTCAGCATTCCTCATAGACAGCAATGCTGTTTAATTGTCTAGTTGCTTTTTTATCTTTCATGTTTTACCAGTCCTGCAGGGCCATTTAATCTCCTGTTTTATGTCAAATATGTTATCACGAAAGTAAAATTACTAATATCTGTAGAAGAAGAGGGTTATCTGAATATACACAGCTGTAAAAAAAAGAATTAAAGATATAAAAGACTACATGCATTTTCCCCTAAACGGATGTGTTGAAATAATGAATGCTTTACACAAAACAAGCCCAAGGTCAGGTTCACATTGGTGCACTGCGTTTTGGACACAGTGCAGGTGTATGCACTGTTTTGTTGTTTTACACACAGTTTGAGCTGCGCTTCCATTAACTTCTATTAAGTTGTGCATTCTTGCTGCATTTTCTGAAAGCGCATCAAAAGTTCTACATGCTGCATCTTTGTTACGCTTTCAGAAAATGCAACTAAAATGCATGACCTAATATAAGCCAGTAAGACCGCAGCTAAAAATGTGTGTAAAATGCAGCTAAACCCACACATTCACCTGTGCTGTGGCCAAAACACAGCACACTTTTGTGAACCCGGCTTTAAATAGAACTTTTTACAATGTGCTGGATTATGCAGCCAGAGCTACATTAGCAAAGCAGTAATTTTAAAAAGTGTTTATCATTTATCAATACATTGCTCAGATCTAAATGGCGTTGAAAAAAAAAAATCAAATCGGTTATTCATGGCCATATGTCTTTATCTTAATCGTACAGTACAGGGCACAGGAATTTTATAGACATGGATTATATGCAGGCTACCTTCAGGTGATTAGAAACTGGAAAAAGACCTGTAAAGGTTGCCCTTAGTGTACACCCATACAGTATAACCCACCCCACCCATTCAGTGAGACTCCATTAGAGTCTGTCCTTAGATGATGGGCCTATTCTCCTTTGGAAAAATGTGTTCCCTTTTTAACAATTTCTTTCCTTCTGACACTTCTATCAAGATCTGACTGTTTATTTTCTTGGGCTATCCATTAGTTTATGGATTGTTAACCCTTTGTGTTGTACCTTGAGGAATGTACCCAGACTACACTCTGTGGGGCTGGCCTGAATTGTTTGCTTCAGACACTGAATCCTGCTATAGGCACTCCCCTTGGCATGAGGTGCAATATGTGTGGTTAGCCACAGGATGCTATACAGGTCCTGGGCTGTGAACCATTTCTGGTGGCTCCCAGCACTTCCAGGTAGACCACTGTCGAGGACAAGCGATCTTGGGATTGGAACTCAGCGGGACTGCTCCAAAGTCGTCCAGTGGATCTACTTGTTTGACAAGCACACATTTTGTTACTTTTGTGAGTTGCAAATTTTTGAGATGAAATAAATTATTTGACTTGTTGCTACACTTAGATTGCGCTGCTTTTCCCTTCCTTGTTTTGAAGCAATATCCTATTTATAGCACTTCTAACTCCCTCTCAAATGCACACCATGTGGCCTTTCTCGATCAAAAGTCTGAATTCTTTGGAAAACCTTAAGCACTCCCAGGGCCAAATATTCTACTCCATCTCCCCCTCCCTCTCCCCTCCCTCTCCCCCTCCCCCCCCCCCCTCCCCCCCTCCTCCTCCCTCTCCCCCCTCCCTCTCCCCTCCCCCTCCCCCTCCCCCTCCCCTCCCCCCCCCCTCCCTCTCCCCCACCCCCCCCCTCTCCCCCTCCCTCTCCCCTCTCCCCCTCCCTCTCCCCCTCCCTCTCCCTCTCCCTCTCCCTCTCCCCCTCCCTCTCCCCCTCCCCCCTCCCTCTCCCCCTCCCCTTCCCCCCCCCCCTCCCTCCCCCCCCCTCCCCCCCTCCCCCTCCCTCCCCTCCCCCCTCTCCCCCCCCCCCCACTCCCTCCCCCTCCCCCTCCCTCTCCCTCCCCCTCCCTCCCCCTCCCTCTCCCTCTCCCTCCCTCCCCTCCCCCTCCCCCCCCCTCTCCCTCTCCCTCCCTCTCCCTCTCCCTCTCCCCCTCCTCTCCCTATCCCCCTCCCTCTCCCTATCCCCCTCCCTCTCCCTCTCCCCCTCCCTCTCCCCCTCCCTCTCCCTCTCCCTCTCCCCCCCTCCCCCCTCCCTCCCACCCCCTCCCTCTCCCCCTTCCTCTCCCCCTCCCCCTCCCTCTCCCTCTCCCCCTCCCCTCCCTCTCCCCCTCCCCCTCCCCCTCCCCCTTCCTCTCCCCTCTCTCCCCCTCCCCCTTCCTCTCCCTCTCTCCCCCTCCCCTTTCCTCTCCCCTCTCTCCCCCCTCCCCCTCTCTCCCCCCCTCCCCCCTCTCTCCCCCCCCCCCCCCCCCCTCCCCCTCCCCCTCCTCTCCCCCCCCTCCCACTCCCTCTTTCCCTCTCCCCCTCCCTCTTTCCCTCTCCCCCTCTCTCCCCCCCTCTCTCCCCCTCTTCCCCTCCCCCTCCCCCCTCCCCCTCCCCCTCCCTCTTTCCCCCTCCCTCTTTCCCTCTCCCCCTCCCTCTTTCCCTCTCCCCTCCCTCTTTCCCTCTCCCCCTCCCTCTTTCCCTCCCCCTCCCTCTCCCCCTCCCTCTTTCCCCTCCCTCTTTCCCTCTCCCCCTCCCCCTCCCTCTTTCCCTCTTCTCCCCCTCCCCTCTTTCCCCCTCCCCCCTCCCTCTTTCCCCTCCCTCTTTCCCTCTCCCCCTCCCCCTCCCTCTTTCCCTCTCCCCCTCCCTCTTTCCCCCTCCCCCTCCCTCTTTCCCCCTCCCCCTCCCTCTTTCCCCCCTCCCCCTTTCCCCTCTCCCCCTTTCCCTCTCCCCCTTCCCTCTTTCCCCTCCCCCTCCCTCTTTCCCTCCCCCCTCCCCTCCCTCCCCCTCCCTCTTTCCCTCCCCCCCTCCCCCCTCCCTCCCCCCTCCCCTCCCCTCCCCCTCCTCCCTCTCTCCCTCCCTCTCCCCCTCCCCCTCCCTCCCTCTTTCCCTCCCTCTTTCCCTCCCTCTTTCCCTCCCTCTTTCCCTCCCTCCCTCCCTCCCTCCCTCCCCCCTCCC